ACGAGTAATTATGTTGGAGTTAAGTCGTATAGCTTCTCATCTACTATGGTTGGGACCTTTTATGGCAGATATTGGTGCACAAACCCCTTTTTTCTATATTTTTAGAGAAAGAGAATTAATATATGATCTATTCGAAGCTGCGACAGGTATGAGAATGATGCATAATTTTTTTCGTATTGGGGGGGTAGCCGCTGATCTACCTTATGGTTGGATAGATAAATGTTTTGATTTCTGCAATTATTTTTTAACAAGGGTTATTGAATATCAAAAACTTATTACGCGAAATCCAATTTTTTTAGAACGGGTTGAAGGAGTAGGTTTTGTTGGTAGAGAGGAAGTTATAAATTGGATATTTCCCTTCAACTTAACAAAATAAACTGGATTCTTTATTTGACATACACAAATAGTTGAAGGGAACTCTCCGAAAAAAGAATGGATTATGGGAGTGTGTGACTTGAACTATTGATTGGGCCATGCAGATATATGACTTGATCTTATCTGCCACATTTGAATTCACAATGAAATGTGTCTTTGTTCCAACCACCGCGTCAGTCCTCTACAGAGGATAGTCCGGTTCGCTTGAAGATAATCTTTTCTATGATCAGACTCGATCATATCCTGCATGAACAGGCTCCGTAATATCCAGTAAAAAAAGGAATATGATATAATCTAGATTATGTCGTATGTATTTCATTAAACTTACATAGTATGGAAATGCATTCATTTCCTATGCATTGACTCAATTTATGATACTATCGGAGTTAAACAAGTAGATCTAAAGAAAAAGGGGGGTTGTATTCTATTAGTAACAAGTAAATCCTTTCTATGTCAAAAATTCCAAAATTCATTTTTCGAGGTATAACAGGCGAAAGGTTTGAGATCACCCAGAAAGAACTTTTGATTTTTATTTTAAAACTTACTTGGGTGAAAAGCATTTACTTAAAAATAAGAACTTAATTTTTTTCAATGGATAGTTGTAATTTCGGAAAAAAAAGAATTCAACCCGTTTTATTACATAGAATCATGATATATGAGTGACTCACATCTACAAAATTTCTATGTCTGCATTCAGTTGGTTTGATTCGTGCTCGAGCCGGATGATGAAAAATTATCATGTCCGGTTCTTTCGGAGGATGGATCTATAAGAATTCACCTATCCCAATAACAAAAAAACCTGACTTGAATGATCCTGTATTAAGAGCAAAATTGGCCAAAGGGATGGGTCATAATTATTATGGCGAACCCGCATGGCCTAATGATCTTTTATATATTTTTCCAGTAGTTATTCTGGGTACTATTGCCTGTAACGTAGGCTTAGCGGTTCTCGAACCATCAATGATTGGGGAACCCGCAGATCCGTTTGCAACTCCTTTGGAAATATTGCCCGAATGGTATTTTTTTCCCGTATTTCAAATACTTCGTACCGTACCCAATAAATTATTGGGCGTTCTTTTAATGGTTTCAGTACCGGCGGGATTATTAACAGTACCTTTTTTGGAGAATGTGAATAAGTTCCAAAACCCATTTCGGCGTCCAGTAGCAACAACCGTCTTTTTGATTGGTACTGTCGTGGCTCTTTGGTTGGGTATTGGAGCAACATTACCTATTGAAAAATCCCTAACGTTAGGTCTTTTTTAAATTGATTCTATTGTAAAATATCATGACAGGTGTATTGTGTTGTGTATCTAGGGAAAATTCACTTTGAAATGACTAATCCCTAGATACATCTATTTCATTTTAGACCTATTCTGAATATATTGATTTGTGCTAAAGATTCAAATTTCATATTTGAACCTTTCTTTTTATAAAAATGAAAGATTCAAAAAAATCCAATAGATTTTCAATTTATAAAAAATGCTTTTCGATTTGTAAAAAGTTGAATAATATATTTTGTAAATCTTCTACGCGAAAATGTTCAATTTTCAGAAGGTCTTCTTGAGTCTTATTCAAAAGTTCAAATAATGTATGTATATTGGACTTTTTAAGACAATTATAGATCCGGGGAGGCAATTCTAATTGGTCAATAAAAGTAGATTTCAATTTCATTTCTTTTTTATTTTTCCTTAGTTTATCCTTAACCAATCTATCATGAAAAGTAAAAAGGGGCAAAGTAATTTTGTGTTGATTGTTTTCAAAATTTAAGTTTTCTTCTTCTGCATGTAAAAAAGGAATAAATAAATCAATCAAATTCCGGGAGGCTTCATAAAGTGCTTCCTTAGGAGTTAAACTTCCATTTGTCCATATTTCGAGAACTAGTATCTCTTGTTTTTCATTTCCATTCACATAAGAATGAATACTATGATTTGCATTTCTAACAGGCATGAATACAGCATCTATAGTATAACTTCCATCTTGAATGTTGTTTAGTGTTTTTATACGATATCCCCGCTTTCTATCAATTTCTAATTCAATACACAAATTAATAGGTTCTGTTAGGTTAGCTATATGTTGTGTATTATCAATGACTTCCACCGAAGGTGGTAAAATGATGTCTTGAGCAGTTACATATCCAGGACCTTTGAAACAAATAGACGCGTCCCGAGTTCCATACAGATTACTTCTCAATACAACTTCTTTTAAATTCATTAAAATTTCATGTATTGATTCTTGAATACCTATTATGGTAGAATATTCATGTGGTATTTTCTCAGATTTTGCACGTGTGATACATGTTCCCTCTATTTCTCCGAGCAAAATTCTTCGCATTGCAATGCCTATTGTATCTGCTTGACCTTTCATAAGTGGAGACATAATAAAGCGTCCATAATAAAGACGCTTACTGTCTACCCTTGATTCAACACACTTCCACTGTAGTGTCTGAGTAGATACTTTTAGTTTTTCTCGAATCATAGTAATATATTTTTATGAAACTCTTGATTTAATTGTTTATTTCTCTTGAAATCTTTTTCTTTAATGTTTATTGTTAGTTTTACACACGTCTTTTTTTAGGAGCCCTACATCCATTATGTGACATAGGGGTTACATCCCGTATAACCCTTACTCGTATCCGACTTCCAGAAATAGCTCTTAATGCCGCCTCTCTTCCTAGACCGGGACCTTTTATCATGACGTCTGCTCGTTGCATGCCTTGATCGACTACTGTTTGAATAGCATTTCCCGCTGCGGTTAGAGCGGCAAATGGTGTCCCCCTTCGTGTACCCTTGAATCCACATGAACCGGCGGAGGACCAAGAAATCACCCGACCTCTTACATCTGTAACAGTCACAATGGTATTGTTGAAACTAGCTTGAATATAAATAACCCCCTTTGGTATTTTACGAGGATGCTTACGCGAACCAATACGTCCAGTTTTACGTGAACCAATTTTTGGTATAGATTTTGCCATGTTTTATTATTTAAAAAAATATAAGTCCGAAATATATGGATATATCCATTTCCTGTCAAAAAACGATTCTTGACTATTTTCTAACTAGTTATTCTATTGTATTCTATAATTCAATTAATATAGAATACCATTTTCAAATATCAAGGAATAAGCAATTATATTTATGAGAATACTTATAACTATAGACTCTATTCGAATATAGAATCTATATTTTTAGATAGAGTATTTAATAAAATGGAATATTCATAAGATTTTTTATTTGAATTGTAATAGAATTCAAATAAAAAATCTTATGAATAGAAAGACCTTTTTTCTTTTAATATTATCCTTGTCTTTGTTTATGTTTTGGATTGGAACAAATTACTATAAGTCGACCTCGCCTACGGATCAATCGACATTTTTCACAAATTTTACGAACAGAGGCCGCCACTTTCATATTTTTCACTCCTTAAATTAAATTGAATACCAATTTTATAGATTGCAAGAAAATAGGGTTTCCTTACATTTTGAACTTCAAATTGTTCCTCCTAAAAAATATGTTGAAGTTATAAAATAGTCTAATCGAATGGAGTCAGCTATACTTCCTTTTTTGGTCGTATCCAGTGGAAACATAACCTAGAATCTGATTTGAATTCTATTTCTCTAAAGCAACCTCAACCTGCAACATACCCTCAGAAGTTGTTGATTAATTTAATCTTTATTAATTTTCATTTCTATTCTAGTTAAAACCTCTTCCCATATTCACTAATGTATCATGAATAATATTAGAAATCTGTTTTTTCTCTACTCCCTCCATTCACAATACTGTTGGCTCTAAGTTTTTTTCATATAATTCAGATATCGGCAAAATTAGCATTACCATATATAACATAAAACTTCTCCCCCGATTTTTTCTAATCGAGCCTCTCGATCTGTCATTATACCCCTAGAAGTAGAAAGAATTACAATCCCCATCCCTCCTAAAACTTTCGGAATTTTTTGATACTTAGAATATATTCATAGACAAGGTGTACTGATCCTTTTTAAATTTAAAAAAGTTTTATAGGATCCTTTCCTATTTCTTCTATACCGTAGAGTTAAAACTAAAAAGTATTTGTTGCTTTCTCGATGTTTTCTGACGTTTTCAACAAAACCCTCTCGTAAAAGAATTTTTACAATGTTTTCGGTGATATTAGTAAGTGGTATTTTAACAGTTCTTTTTCTATTCATGTCAGCATTGCGTATCAAGGTTAGTATATCAGCGATAGTATCTTTACCCACGATAGATTTTTGCTCCTTACTTTCGATATAATCAACGTGCTCCCGTTTTTTGATTTTTTATTTTTTGATTCAATCAAATCTCTCATATTGAATATGAGAATAGAATAATACTCTATATGTATAGAAAATTTGATTGTAATTAGGATAATCTAAATATCCGAATATAGAATATTCTAAAACTAAAAAAAGATAGAAATAAAATGAACGAATGACCTATTCGAAACTATATAAATAATCTTATATTGAATTCGAATTCTATTTTTTTATACAAATAGAATTCGAATTTTTATTTTGAATATATTGACTTGAATATAGAATATATATTTCATTCGTATTCTAATCTATTTCCTATTCATTCAAGTCATAAATAATATATCTATATCATGATCTCTTATTATAATACCTCAGGTGCTAATGAAACTATTTTAGTGAAATTTAACTGTCTCAATTCTCGGGCTATTGCGGAAAAAATTCGAGTTCCTTTTGGATTTCCTTCTTTATCAATGAGAACCGCCGCATTATCATCATACTTTATTATTATACCATTACGACGTTTTAGTTCTTTACAAGTACGTACAATTACAGCTCTGATGACTTGAGATCTTTTTAAAGATGAATTTGGCACTGCTTTTTTGATTACAGCAACAACAATGTCACCAATATAAGCATACCTTCGATTACTAGCTCCTATGATTCGAATACACATCAATTCGCGCGCTCCACTATTATCGGCTACATTTAAATAGGTTTGAGGTTGAATCATATCCTTTTTTCTTATCTTTCAGTTTCAGTCAAAAAGTTGAAGTAAAAAAAATATTTTGTGTTCAAAAAAAAAACGGAGAATTGCCTTTTTTCATACTAAAGATCTCTTTCGTTCTAATGATTATTCGGAAAGAATAAATTGAGTTCGTATAGGCATTTTGGATGCCGCTATTGAAATCGCCTTTCTAGCGATATTTTCTGGAACACCTCCCATTTCATAAAGTATTTTGCCGGGTTTAACAACAGCTACCCAATATTCGGGCGATCCTTTTCCCGAACCCATACGCGTTTCGGTAGGTCTTACTGTAACAGGTTTGTCTGGAAATATGCGTACCCATATTTGTCCACCCCGGCGAACATTTCGTGACATTGCCCGTCGACCCGCTTCTAGTTGTCTAGATGTGATCCAAGCGGGCTCAAGTGCCTGAAGAGCATATTTTCCGAAGCAAATTTGACTACCACGAGAGGCTTTTCCTTTCATTCTTCCTCTATGATGTTTGCGGAATCTCGTTCTTTTTGGGTTATAGTTGATGGTTATTTCTCAATTCCATCTCTATTACAGAACCGTACATGAAATTTTCACCTCATACGGCTCCTCGCGAATAAATCGATTGAAAAATATTGAATCGAGAAAATAATAATAATTACTACAATAAGATACAACAGAATATAATCGCGGGATTTTTTTACATTTAATAGAATCTATTGATCTATTAGAAATTTTTTAATCTTGCTTTGATATATAACGAAATATGTATTCTTATAGACCATTTTTGCTATCCGTATCTAACTAGCTAATATTTTTGGATATAAGGTTCTAACGAATCAGTATTTTTCTTTTTTTATTATTATCATATTGGATTGGCAAAAATTTATCAATTCCAAAAAAATCCACATTTTCGCGGGCGAATATTTACTCTCTCATTATAAATTGATTAAATTGAAGATGTAATGTAGGGTTAGTCCACAACTCCTCAAAAAAGAATGAATTCTTAGTTCCTTCCGCCATCCCATCTAATGAATCAGTAAGATTTCAAATTTTAATATAATCTTTTGTATTCACAGGTTCCGTCGTTCCCATCGCTTTTCAATTTATGGTTAGGTCTAAATTCTACAATGGAGCCTCTTTAATTAAGAAGATTCCATTTTTTTTATTTTCTTATTTTCTTCTTTTTTGTTGAATCAACCTTCTCAGTTTTCTTGATTCGTGGCTCTTGATTCGTTTATTCTAGGAATATATTCATCCATATATGGATGAATTTTGAAGATTGATGCTTTATTACACTACTTTTTATGAGATGACCCATAGACCTTTACATAGGAGAATTCTATATCATTGATATCCTTTTTCTATCTTTCTTTCACCCCTTCATTTATCTGTATATTCTTATTGCTTTACAACTAATAATCTTATTTTTTTTTTTATTTCAGTTGCTATAATTATATCATCACATAGATCCTTATTTTGATTTTAGATTTTCGGCGGTTCTTTATATCCAGATAATGGGAAGCGATGAGTAGGTTATTTATTCTTTAGTAATTAATTCGACGAATTTTTGTAGAAAATTAACCACTCTAAAAAAAAACCAACGAGTCACACACTAAGCATAGCAACTCCTTCATTATAAAATGATTAATTAATTTTTTTTTATTTAATCTTTTAAAATTTTTCATTTCTTCTTTGAGAATAAGAACGTAGTAAGAATTCGTCATTTTTTGTTTTCTCAAAAGATGGAACGTTATAAGGAAAAGGTTATTAGTCGTTGTTTATAAATATCCAAACTTTGATTCCTAAGACCCCATAAATAGTTCGAACTGGATAGGAACAATAATCAATTTTAGCTCGAATGGTTTGTAGAGGAATCCTACCTTCTCTGATCCATTCGACACGTGCAATTTCGTTTCCGTCGATGCGTCCCGCAATTTGTATTTGAACTCCTTTTGTACCTGCACCTGCCTCTTCAGCGAATTTTTTTATAGTTTTTTGCATTGCTTTACGAAACGGAATTCTATTCTTTAATTGTCTGGCTAGAAATTCTGCAAGAATATTCGGGTCTCTATAAACATTTGGAATTCTTGTAATTTCAATGTTGATTTGTCGGTTCACACAATTTATTTTTTTTTGCACATTAGTATGTAATTCTTCCATTCTTTCAGGGTTATCCTCTATTACTAAGTTTGGGTTTGGAAGTCCCATATTGATTATCACGTGAATCAGATCGCGTGTTTTTTTAATCTTTATTCGTCCAATTCCCTCGCCATCGACAGCGGTTGTTGTTTTTTGTATTTTTTGTATATAATTCTTGATACAATCTCGTATTATTTTATCTTCTTTTACATTCTCGGAATAAATTCTTGGTTGTGCAAACCAAATAGAATCATGACTTTGAGTTGTACCAAGTCTGAAACCAAGCGGATGTATTTTTTGTCCCATAATCCCTCACTACTCTATATAAAATAATACGTCTGATTTGTCTACTTTTTTATCTATATATATATATTTTTTTTAATATCTTGATATATCTTTTTTTTCTGCAAAGCATTAGTTCTATTATAATAACCCTTTCAATTTTTGAATATTATTAATTACCATTCACGCTTTGTGTTGTGAATAGACAAAAATATTTTTTGAACAAAGGGTTATATTTCTCTGTATTGGTTCTATTTTCACGAAAAAATAAAATCTGTTTTTTTGATTGCAGAATAATACAATTCTTTTTGAGTAATTTATTAATTAATATTTATTAATGACTATTACTAAATTTATGTTAAAATGAATGTTAACGACGAGATCTATTATCATTTTTCGCAAAGCCTCGGAAGTTTCGAGTAGGTGAAAATTCTCCCAATTTATGGCCTACCATACGATCTGTTATATAAATAGGTAAATGCTCTTTTCCATTATGGATAGCAATGGTATGCCCAATCATTGTAGGTAGAATGGTAGATCTTCTGGACCAAGTTATTATTATTTCTTTTTCTCCTTTTGTGTTAAGCTTATTTATTTTTCTTAATAAATGATTCGCTACAAAAGGATTTTTTTTTAGTGAACGTGTCATAGTTAATTATTCCTCTTAAAATTTCTAAAAAAATGAATTTTTTCTCTTATATTTTTTATTTTATTTCCAATTTTAAAATATAGAATCTCTTTTTAAAATATAGAATCTCTCAAAAAAGAAAATCATAGAATGTCATAGTCAATCGCTCTTTTCTTTTGTAAAGACGAAGAAACAAATTCTATTTTCTCTACTATCCACTATTGACTACGGCGACGAAGAATCAAATTATCACTATATTTCTTCCTTTTTCTAGTTCTTCTTCCAAGTGCAGGATACCCCCAAGGAGTTGAGGGTTTTTTTCTACCAATTGGGGCCCTCCCTTCACCACCCCCATGTGGATGGTCTACAGGGTTCATAACTACCCCTCTTACTACAGGACGCTTGCCTCGCCAACGTTTAGCTCCGGCTCTGCCCAAACTTTTCTGGTTTACCCCAACATTCCCCACTTGTCCGACTGTTGCTGAGCAGTTTTTTGATATCAAACGGACCTCTCCAGAAGGTAATTTTAATGTTGCTGATTTACCCTCTTTTGCAATCAGTTTCGCTACAGCACCCGCTGCTCTAGCTAATTGTCCACCCTTTCCAAGTGTTATTTCTATGTTATGTATGGCCGTGCCTAAGGGCATATCGGTTGAAGTAGATTCGTCTTTTTGATCAATCAAAACCCCTTCCCAAACTGTACAAGCTTCTTCCAAAGCATACGGCTTTCTGGATGTAGATTAGAATATCTATACAGATACATCTTATATATCGTTTATTTCGTATATTATATATGACATAACGAAGTACCATACCACATGAGTGGATATATAATATACGAATCCAAATATTCTGAATGACTCATGTTATGATCTTCTACATACTAGGTCTTTCTGTTCCTTCATCTGGCTTATGTTCTTCATGTAGCATTCAGACCGAATGACTCTATGAAATTACGTTGCTACTTAGACATAGTACGGGTAACGTAGGAGACATTTCTATTTTTTCCCGGGGGAATCCTTAGAATTACCACTGCTTAGCTTTCAATTTGCCTTTGACCATCAAATGAAATGTGAATAATCTGTGTCTTCCCCCCTTTGTTTTTTGAAACGAGGAGCACTTCGTGTTCTGTCGGTGCTTGAAACAATTTTGTCTTCTCCATATTACTATATCTCTAGGGTCAATAATTTTATATTAGGAACTACTGAACTCAATCACTTGCTGCTGTTACTCTTCAGTTTTCTGTTGAAGTCTATCCTGTAGAGGTACTCAAATAGGATCAGTGATCGATTTCTAGGTTTCGCCTTAAACCTAATTGGTTACTTCCAATTACGTAAATCTATAGTTCAAACCGCACTCAAAGGTAGGGCATTTCCCATTTTTATAGGAACTTTTGTACCATAAATAATGGTATCTCCAATTATAGCCCCTCTGGGGTGTAAAATATATCTTTTCTCACCATCCCCATAGTGTATGAGACAAATGTGTGCATTTCGATTAGGGTCGTATTCGATAGTTACAATTCTACCATATATGTCTTTTTCATTGCGTCGAAAATCAATTTTACGGTATAGACGCTTATGACCTCCCCCTCTATGCCCTGCGGTAATGATTCCTCTGGCATTACGCCCTTTACCACAATGATGCTGTCCAGAAATCAAACGATTTCGTGAATTGGATTTCACTTGACTGTTTACGGCTCCATTGCGTGTGTTCGGGCTAGAAGTTTTGGATAAATGTATCGCCATGTTATGAAGTGTATTTTTATTTAAGTTATTTTCTTTCTAAGAGGTGGAATAGAATAACCCGGTTGAAGCGTAATGATCATACGTTTGTAATGCCTTGTATGTCCCATAATAGGTCGTATTCTTCTACCCTTTATTGGGATTGCGAGTTGATTCATAGTTCTTACCTTGACACCAAAGAAGAGTTCGACCCAATGTTTTCTTTCTGTCCTAGTTAATCCTGATTTGACATGAAAAGTATATTGATTTTTTCGAAATAACGAAAATTTAGTGTCTGTAAATACTGCAGATTTTATTCCATTCATAAATCTATTTTATTCTTTCTTCCCGATGAGTTCTAGTCTCACTAAAAATACTAGTTTTTTTACTGTTCATTTATTAAAATTTGAATATACCACACCAATTTGTTATGTATGGATGATGAGATTCCATTGATACAGATCCAAGTCTCGATTCAAATACTACTAAGCTAAGAGGTCTACTACAGATCAGAAATTATTTAAATAGAATAAATAAAGAAATTCTTTCTTTATTTAGAAATGATCAATTCTTGAAGTTTCTATTATTTTCAAATTCAATTATTAAAGAAAGAAGAAGATGTTTCTTTTTTTCTTTGGAGGAAATTGGAAAAGAAAGAAATAGCCAATATAGTCAAGATAATCATGTATTTACAAAATAATGTCTCAATTCATCCTATATTCATCCGATGGAGGATGTGATAGGATTGCAAAGGAGAAACTTTTGACAGTTCAAAATAATAATTCATGATTAAAAATATAGTTTTTAGGGGAGATATTTCTATTGGCATGCATCCAGTAGGAATTGAACCTACGACTTCGCCAATTATGAGTTGGGCGCTTTAACCATTCAGCCATGGATGCTTCGAGGGAACAACCCTCCGACTTGATGAATAACCAAATTTCAATTGAAGTGAAATCTTTTGGATAAATCAATAGAAATACATACATAAAGAAATAACTTAATAGAAATACATACATAAAGAAATAACTTAATAGAAATACATACATAAATAAATAACTTAATAGAAATACATACATAAAGAGATAAATTATTTTTAATTTTTTAAGGAGGATCCTATGAAGAACAATCAATTCCACTTTTGGATTTTCGAATTGCGAGAAATTTTTAGAGAGAGCAAGAATTGTGCCTATTTCTTAGATTCCTGGACGCAATTCAATTCAGCGATATCTGTCATTCACATTTTTTTGCATCAAGAGAGTTTGATAAAAGTCTTAGACTCCAGAATTTGGAGTATCCTAGTTTCACGTCAGTCACAGGGTTTAACAAGAAATCGATATTTCACGATCAAGAATGTAGTACTTTTTGTAGTAGCAATCCTTCTATATCGTATTAACAATCGAAGGATGATCGGAAAAAAAAATATTTATTTGACAGGGCTTCTTCCTATACAAATAAATTCCATTGGATCCGGCAATGATAGATTGGAAGACTCAAAAGATTCGTTCAATATCAATAGGTTGATTGTTCCGCTCCTGTCTGGTCCAAAAGAAAAAAAGATCTCTGATCGCTCTTTTTTCTCGGACAGATGGTCCCAACTTCATCTGGATTTGAATCCTACTGAGAAGTCCGCTCAAGATCTTCAATTATTAAAGAAAGAAGAAGATGTTTCTTTTGTTCTTTGGAGGAAATTGGAAAATAAAGAACTAGCCAATATAGTCAAGATAATCATGTATTTACAAAATAATGTCTCAATTCATCCTATTTCATCCGATGGAGGATGTGATAGGATTGCAAAGGAGAAACTTTTGACAGTTCAAAATAATAATTCATTCTTGACCAAAAATCTAGTTTTTGGTTTATTTCATCTATTCCATGACCAGAATAGGGGGGGGTACTTGTTACATCGCAATTTTCAATCAGAAGAGAGATTTCAAGAAATGGCAAATCTATTTAATCTATCACTAACTAAGCCGGATCTGGTCTATCGTAATGGATTCTCTTTTTCTATTGGGTTTTCTGAACCGGAATCAAAAAAAAAATCTTTATTGGTTCTGCCGCGGCTTTTTGACGAAGCGAATGAATCTTTTTATCCAAAGATCATAAAAAAATGGGTCCAGACCTCTTGTGGGAATTATTTTCAAGGTAATCGATTCAATCGCAACTTCGAATATGTACTTCAAAGGTATCAAAATGATATTCTGAATCATAGACCTATAAGGAAACACACGATCAATCAACGTTTCTCAAATTTGAAAAAGAGTCAGAAGAAATGCTTTGATCGTCTTATTTTTATTTATCGAACCGAGAGATCCGTGAATAAGGATCCAAATGCATATAAATACAAATGGTCCAAGGGGAGCACAAATTTCCAGGAACATTTGGACCATTTCATTTCTGAGCAGAATAGTCGTTTTAAAGTAGTGTTCGATCGATTACATATGAATGCATATTCGATTGATTGGGCTGAGGTTATCGACAAAAAAGATTTTTCTAAGTCACTTTGTTTCTTTTTGTCCAAGCTTCTTCCCTTTTTGTCTAACTCACTTCCTTTTTTCTTTGTGAGTTTCGGGAGTATGCCCGTTCATAGGTCCCAGAGCCATATGTATGAATTGAAACGTATGAATGATGCACTCGAGAATCAGTTGTTAGAATCAATAGGTCTGCAAACGGTTCATTTGAAAAAAAGGAAATCCCCATTATTGGATGACTATTATACTTCTCAAAAATAAAAATTCTTGATCAATGAAGGAACAATATTACCATTTTTGTTCAATAAGATACCAAACCAAGACAATTGGCTGAATCCTGTGAAATGTTTTCATAGAAGTTCATTGATTTCCTCTTTTTATAAAGTAAATCGACTTCGATTCTTGAATAATCAATATAACTTCTCTTTCGATTGTAACAAAAGATTCTCTTTTTATGGGGAAAGGTCCTATAATTATGATTTTATGTATGAACAATTCCTCAATGTCTTGTTCATTCGAAAGAAAATCTTTTCTTTGTGCGGCGGTAAAAAAACACATGCTTTTTTGGACAGAGATACTATTTCACCAAGCGAGTTAGAGGTCTCTAAGATATTGAGACCGAAGAATTTTCCGCAAAGTGGTGATGACGGATATGACTTGTACAAATCTTTCCATTTTTCAACTCGTGTTCCTAGATCTATTTACTCGATCGCGGACATTTCTGGAACACCTCTAACAGAGGAAGAAATAGTGAATTTGGAAAGAACTTCTTGTCAACCTCTTTCCCCTATTAATTTATCTGATTCAAAAAGGAAGAACTTGCATCAGTATCTTGATTTCGATTCAAACATGGGTTTGGGTTTGCTTGACACTCTATATTCTGAAAAATTTATACCATCCGCAAAGAGGAAAAAACCTCTAAAAAAATTCCTTGGAAAAGGGCAGATGTATAGAAACTTTCAAAGAAAAAGAAAAAGAAAGAGTATTTCTTCAATTCTCTCCAAATTGAAGCGATTACGCCCGTATATAATACCGTTGTTCCTTACCTGGACAGGGCACAAATATATCAATTTCATATTTTTAGATACTCTTTCAGACCTATTTGCGATACTAAGGAGGAGTCCTCAATTTAAAAAATTTGTATCTATTTGGCAGAATATTATGCATGGATCCAAGGGAAGTCTTCGGAAAAAACTGTGGGGAATTCTTCGGAAAAAACTGTGTCTTTCACAACGGAATCGTATAAGTGAGATTTCGAGTAAGTCTTTCCATAATTTTCTTGTAGACATGTACAAAGATCTTTTTCACACAAATAATGAGTCACCATTCATATCGACACATCTGAGATCACGAAATATTGAGGAGTTCCTGGTTTTAAATTTATTTATCGAACCGAGAGATCCGTGAATAAGGATCCAAATGCATATAAATACAAATGGTCCAAGGGGAGCAAAAATCTATCGTGGGTAAAGATACTATCGCTGATATACTAACCTTGATACGCAATGCTGACATGAATAGAAAAAGAACTGTTAAAATACCACTTACTAATATCACCGAAAACATTGTAAAAATTCTTTTACGAGAGGGTTTTGTTGAAAACGTCAGAAAACATCGAGAAAGCAACAAATACTTTTTAGTTTTAACTCTACGGTATAGAAGAAATAGGAAAGGATCCTATAAAACTTTTTTAAATTTAAAAAGGATCAGTACACCTTGTCTACGAATATATTCTAAGTATCAAAAAATTCCGAAAGTTTTAGGAGGGATGGGGATTGTAATTCTTTCTACTTCTAGGGGTATAATGACAGATCGAGAGGCTCGATTAGAAAAAATCGGGGGAGAAGTTTTATGTTATATATGGTAATGCTAATTTTGCCGATATCTGAATTATATGAAAAAAACTTAGAGCCAACAGTATTGTGAATGGAGGGAGTAGAGAAAAAACAGATTTCTAATATTATTCATGATACATTAGTGAATATGGGAAGAGGTTTTAACTAGAATAGAAATGAAAATTAATAAAGATTAAATTAATCAACAACTTCTGAGGGTATGTTGCAGGTTGAGGTTGCTTTAGAGAAATAGAATTCAAATCAGATTCTAGGTTATGTTTCCACTGGATACGACCAAAAAAGGAAGTATAGCTGACTCCATTCGATTAGACTATTTTATAACTTCAACATATTTTTTAGGAGGAACAATTTGAAGTTCAAAATGTAAGGAAACCCTATTTTCTTGCAATCTATAAAATTGGTATTCAATTTAATTTAAGGAGTGAAAAATATGAAAGTGGCGGCCTCTGTTCGTAAAATTTGTGAAAAATGTCGATTGATCCGTAGGCGAGGTCGACTTATAGTAATTTGTTCCAATCCAAAACATAAACAAAGACAAGGATAATATTAAAAGAAAAAAGGTCTTTCTATTCATAAGATTTTTTATTTGAATTCTATTACAATTCAAATAAAAAATCTTATGAATATTCCATTTTATTAAATACTCTATCTAAAAATATAGATTCTATATTCGAATAGAGTCTATAGTTATAAGTATTCTCATAAATATAATTGCTTATTCCTTGATATTTGAAAATGGTATTCTATATTAATTGAATTATAGAATACAATAGAATAACTAGTTAGAAAATAGTCAAGAATCGTTTTTTGACAGGAAATGGATATATCCATATATTTCGGACTTATATTTTTTTAAATAATAAAACATGGCAAAATCTATACCAAAAATTGGTTCACGTAAAACTGGACGTATTGGTTCGCGTAAGCATCCTCGTAAAATACCAAAGGGGGTTATTTATATTCAAGCTAGTTTCAACAATACCATTGTGACTGTTACAGATGTAAGAGGTCGGGTGATTTCTTGGTCCTCCGCCGGTTCATGTGGATTCAAGGGTACACGAAGGGGGACACCATTTGCCGCTCTAACCGCAGCGGGAAATGCTATTCAAACAGTAGTCGATCAAGGCATGCAACGAGCAGACGTCATGATAAAAGGTCCCGGTCTAGGAAGAGAGGCGGCATTAAGAGCTATTTCTGGAAGTCGGATACGAGTAAGGGTTATACGGGATGTAACCCCTATGTCACATAATGGATGTAGGGCTCCTAAAAAAAGACGTGTGTAAAACTAACAATAAACATTAAAGAAAAAGATTTCAAGAGAAATAAACAATTAAATCAAGAGTTTCATAAAAATATATTACTATGATTCGAGAAAAACTAAAAGTATCTACTCAGACACTACAGTGGAAGTGTGTTGAATCAAGGGTAGACAGTAAGCGTCTTTATTATGGACGCTTTATTATGTCTCCACTTATGAAAGGTCAAGCAGATACAATAGGCATTGCAATGCGAAGAATTTTGCTCGGAGAAATAGAGGGAACATGTATCACACGTGCAAAATCTGAGAAAATACCACATGAATATTCTACCATAATAGGTATTCAAGAATCAATACATGAAATTTTAATGAATTTAAAAGAAGTTGTATTGAGAAGTAATCTGTATGGAACTCGGGACGCGTCTATTTGTTTCAAAGGTCCTGGATATGTAACTGCTCAAGACATCATTTTACCACCTTCGGTGGAAGTCATTGATAATACACAACATATAGCTAACCTAACAGAACCTATTAATTTGTGTATTGAATTAGAAATTGATAGAAAGCGGGGATATCGTATAAAAACACTAAACAACATTCAAGATGGAAGTTATACTATAGATGCTGTATTCATGCCAGTTAGAAATGCAAATCATAGTATTCATTCTTATGTGAATGGAAATGAAAAACAAGAGATACTAGTTCTCGAAATATGGACAAATGGAAGTTTAACTCCTAAGGAAGCACTTTATGAAGCCTCCCGGAATTTGATTGATTTATTTATTCCTTTTTTACATGCAGAAGAAGAAAACTTAAATTTTGAAAACAATCAACACAAAATTACTTTGCCCCTTTTTACTTTTCATGATAGATTGGTTAAGGATAAACTAAGGAAAAATAAAAAAGAAATGAAATTGAAATCTACTTTTATTGACCAATTAGAATTGCCTCCCCGGATCTATAATTGTCTTAAAAAGTCCAATATACATACATTATTTGAACTTTTGAATAAGACTCAAGAAGACCTTCTGAAAATTGAACATTTTCGCGTAGAAGATTTACAAAATATATTATTCAACTTTTTACAAATCGAAAAGCATTTTTTATAAATTGAAAATCTATTGGATTTTTTTGAATCTTTCATTTTTATAAAAAGAAAGGTTCAAATATGAAATTTGAATCTTTAGCACAAATCAATATATTCAGAATAGGTCTAAAATGAAATAGATGTATCTAGGGATTAGTCATTTCAAAGTGAATTTTCCCTAGATACACAACACAATACACCTGTCATGATATTTTACAATAGAATCAATTTAAAAAAGACCTAACGTTAGGGATTTTTCAATAGGTAATGTTGCTCCAATACCCAACCAAAGAGCCACGACAGTACCAATCAAAAAGACGGTTGTTGCTACTGGACGCCGAAATGGGTTTTGGAACTTATTCACATTCTCCAAAAAAGGTACTGTTAATAATCCCGCCGGTACTGAAACCATTAAAAGAACACCCAATAATTTATTGGGTACGGTACGAAGTATTTGAAATACGGGAAAAAAATACCATTCGGGCAATATTTCCAAAGGAGTTGCAAACGGATCTGCGGGTTCCCCAATCATTGATGGTTCGAGAACCGCTAAGCCTACGTTACAGGCAATAGTACCCAGAATAACTACTGGAAAAATATATAAAAGATCATTAGGCCATGCGGGTTCGCCATAATAATTATGACCCATCCCTTTGGCCAATTTTGCTCTTAATACAGGATCATTCAAGTCAGGTTTTTTTGTTATTGGGATAGGTGAATTCTTATAGATCCATCCTCCGAAAGAACCGGACATGATAATTTTTCATCATCCGGCTCGAGCACGAATCAAACCAACTGAATGCAGACATAGAAATTTTGTAGATGTGAGTCACTCATATATCATGATTCTATGTAATAAAACGGGTTGAATTCTTTTTTTTCCGAAATTACAACTATCCATTGCAAAAAATTAAGTTCTTATTTTTAAGTAAATGCTTTTCACCCAAGTAAGTTTTAAAATAAAAATCAAAAGTTCTTTCTGGGTGATCTCAAACCTTTCGCCTGTTATACCTCGAAAAATGAATTTTGGAATTTTTGACATAGAAAGGATTTACTTGTT